TGTGTCTAATCGTCTATATGGATGGAGTTGATTGGCCCGGACGTCAATATCTTCTATGTCACCATAACCCATTTGTGTAAGAGCATATAATATTTGGTCTAGAAAAAATCTTAAAAATATTCCTCCCTCTTATTAAATTAGAAACATACTTTATTGCATAAAAGTCGAATAATGCGGATCTACTTGGTATATACTATAGGAGAAAACTTATTCTTCTGTTTAAACTTGGTAGTTTTTTTTTTTCTTTCTCAGTATCATCATTTTCAACAAAAAATTGAAAACTCAAACCTGTCAATTGTGTAGAAAAGAACCAGTTGTATAAGTCGTTTGAGAAAAAGAACTTAGTAGTTGTGTAGTTTGGTAATTGTGCTTTGTTAATAAATTAAAAGGAAGAAAGACATAGAGAAGGAAACAAGGATGGGTGGTCTGAAGTAGGTAGGTGAAGCCAAATTAAAACGTGAGAGAATGAGCACAACCGTTTATTGAACCATTGAACCACATGCCTCAATTTGTATCTTTTGGTAGGTGTGAGTCACTTGGCTTACCGTTTGTAAGATCGTTTCTTTTTGGAAAGGGATCAAATAAATACTAAGTACATGCTTAAATCTTAATCCTCCATATGAATCTAATGATCTACGTACATTTTCTCTTCACATTTGCACCCAAAAAAAAATAAATAAATAATAATAATAATAATAAAAGTTTTGTTAATTATAGTTTTTTGTTCTTGGTTTGTTTTATCTCATCTCGTTGAACTTAAGACTAGATAATAAAAAAACTATGAATTTGATAACTAGAGATACAAAAATAGTGTACCGACTAACATATTAAGATCTCTTTTAATATCGTTAGTCACCATCTCATCCACTCATTAGTCAATTTTACAATTCAACCCGAAGACTCTCAGTCAATACTCAATACTTCAATCGTCAATACAGACACGTTGACGACCTACTTTAATATTCATAATTAAATATTATATTAAATATTGTGCACTAACTAAACATCGTGGGGATGTAGCTCAGATGGTAGAGCGCTCGCTTAGCATGCGAGAGGTACGGGGATCGATACCCCGCATCTCCAGTTTATTTTTAATCGTCTTATTTCAACAAGACCACTAGATTTTTGCATGTTTAACAAAAGAACCCATTAGTTTGAAAATTGCTTTTCTAACCCTCTCTATCAAAAGGGGATGTAGCTCAGATGGTAGAGCGCTCGCTTAGCATGCGAGAGGTACGGGGATCGATACCCCGCATCTCCATTTTACATTTTCCTTTATTATTTTTTGTTTTTGTTTTTATTTAATTCAGATTCTTGCTTGACAAGTGACAAGTGTTCACTCAAAGGTATGAGGTATCGCTCAAGTTTCTTGAGAAGTCGAGAAGATTAAAGTGGGAACTCTGTTAATCAAAAGCAAAACTGACCTAAGCTGGTCAATTTAGTATTTAACCGCCGGGCGGTTCGGATATAAACAGCTGCCATTTTCAAACTCCCTTATCTTCCGACAGCGACAGGCAACAAGCTAAGAGACACACGATTACACAAGTAGACAACAAGCTAATAACTGTTTTTCAGTCAAATTAATATTTTTGATTTTTAGTCGGCCACCTACTTTTACAGAAGAAAAACAAGAAAGTCTTCTTGATATCTTTGTTCTGTTTCTGCAAACTCACAGAGAAAGAAGGAAGACGACGAAGAAGAAGATGGAAGCCAAATATGATCGTGCCAGTGAGGTCAAAGCTTTCGACGAGATGAAGATCGGAGTTAAGGGTCTCGTCGACGCCGGAATCTCACAAATCCCGCGTATCTTCCATCATCATCTCAATTCAACCGACTCAAATCCACCTCTTTCCTCGACGACGATGATCATCCCAACAATCGATCTCCAAGGAGGCAAGCTCGAGTCCACGGCCACACGAGAGAGCGTGATCGCGGAGATCAGAGACGCCGTCGAGAAATTCGGGTTTTTTCAGGCGATTAACCATGGAATCCCGATTGATGTGATGGAGAAGATGAAAGATGGGGTTCGTAACTTTCATGAGCAAGACGCAGAAGTGAGGAAGAAGTTCTACAGTCGCGATAACACCAAAAAGTTTACTTACAACAGCAACTTCGATCTCTACAGCTCTAAATCTGCGAATTGGAGAGATTCCTTAAGTTGTTTTATAGCTCCTGATGTTCCCAAAACAGAGGACTTGCCAGAGATTTGTGGGTACGAAATATACTAATTTAGTTTTCCTCGTCAATCTTTGCTTTCCTGTTTTTGATTAAAGGGTTTTGATTTTAGGGAAGTCATGTTGGAGTATTCGAAGCAAGTGATAAAATTAGGGGAAATAGTCTTTGAGCTTTTATCAGAAGCTTTAGGGCTTGATCCTAATCACCTTAAAGAAATGGATTGCACGAAAGGTTTATTGATGCTCTGTCATTACTACCCGCCTTGTCCTGAGCCTGATCGAACTTTCGGCGGAAGTCCGCATTCAGACAGATCTTTCCTCACTATTCTTCTTCAAGATCACATTGGTGGGCTTCAAGTTTTTCAGGATGGTTATTGGGTTGATGTTCCTCCTGTTCCTGGAGCTCTTCTCATTAACCTCGGAGATCTCTTACAGGCAAGTTGTTATTAACTTATTGTGACCTGAATCAAACCATACTCATTTTTGGTTTCTACGTACAGATTATAACGAACGACAAGTTTGTAAGTGTGGAGCATAGAGTTTTGGCTAATAGAGGGGAAGAGCCGCGTATTTCGGTAGCGTCGTTCTTTGTGCATCCTTTACCGAGTTTGCGAGTGTATGGACCGATAGAAGAGCTTTTGTCTGAACAAAACCCTCCCAAGTATAGAGACACGACCGTGACGGAGTATTCAAACCATTACATGGCGAGAGGACTCGATGGGAAGTCCGTGTTGCTTCAGTTCAAGATCTGACAGTGACAAGAAAGATCCGGGCTTTACCAATATATCACAAGTCTTCTAGGGTTTTCAATTAATTGTTCCGCACGTAATGAAATATAGCTTTTTGCACACTCAAAATAAATGTACAGTACCATGATGTGTTCCTTTAGCTACCCGCTTCGGCTATAATCCAAACAATTGTTGCATGTGTATCCCCATTAGTCCTTAGATATTTAAACTTTGCTATGCGATTGAGTTACGTTTATTAATACTAACTAGGTAAATACCCGCACTTCGCTGGGGGAGAATATCATTACATCTTTTCTTGTGTTTGAATTAATTAAATTAAAGATATTATAATTTGGCATTTAAATCGAATGTCAATTACTTTATTTTTTCTATTAAACTAAAATGGTTTACTAATCATTGGGCACGGGCCCAAAGAATATTGTTTTTGACGATGTTGTTTGATTGCATTCGGTGGTCGTTCCGAAACACTGAAATTATTGATCTTTAGTCTGTACAAGAGAGGATTTAATTTGTTATCTTCATTTTGTTGTCCGAATGAAACAAGGAAAACAAAATTTGGATTACGGTGCTGTCATTTTTCTGGATACGGTTTCAAAAATTAGTGTATTTTTGAGTTTAATGATGAATCGAAGGTTAGTATTTGTCAATCCGAAATTTGTGTAATGTTATTCGATTGTTTATGTAATTTAGATGAATTTGTACCAAATTGCTAAGAGGAACTTGATTGTTAGATGTGTTGGCTGGAGATGAAATTGATGATTGATGTTTTTTAGTCTTTCTTTGGAGGACTGACTTGACGACATATAAGAAATTCCATGACTGTAAAGGTAAGCTTTCTACCCAACTTAGTTTTCTGTGTTTGAATTTTGTTGAATCATTTTGTTTGCTTTGAGTTTGCGTTTTTGATTATGCATATTGTCCTCTTTTTTTTGTCACTTTAAAAAAAAAACTGAGTATATATGGTGAACACATTTGTCATAATATACTCGATAGAATTTATTGTTTTTGAATATAAACTAAGAATGGATAATTTAATTTTTTGGAAACATATTATGCGATTACAAAGATATTTTTTTGGTGAATATGTGATTACATAGATAGTTATATAAGAAATGGACTCCTGGTTTTGAGTGTATAAGAGAAGTAGGTACCATAGTTTTAATTAATGTTCTTAACTTTCCTTTCATTACATTGGTGTTACCTTTCAGCTTCTCTATCTTTAACTCCAGCTCTTGTGTTGCATTTCTAGAGAGATTCATGTACTTGAGTTTACGTGCACTCTGCAAAAGCAAATAAAAATAAAAATTGTGCTTAGTAAAATCAAAGATGGTACCAAATGAAGAAAGAAGAAAGAAGAATAGACAGAAAACAGAACCTCAACAAGAATTTGGGCCGTTGCATCATTTAGTCTAAAACCTATGAGTGTTAACGAGGTTAAGTTTGGGATGTTTGTGACGATATCTGCTAAGCCTGATGATGATTCTTTAAATCTTAATCTACCTGTTACACAATAGCTATATATAAGCTTGAGTAAACAAAAAGGAAAGCTTCAAAAGTGGGGAAAAAACAAGATTTACTAGAGTAACTTCTATAGGTCTCCAAGAATAGGTGCTCTATGAAACAGCGTTTTGCTGTCAGTGACTCAAGTAGCTTCTCCGGTGAGACATAACTATCACATTAAACACAAATTAAAATACCGTAAAACGTGAGAGAGTGTTGAATAAAAGGAATAAGACACCGAGAAGCAATAAAAATTATAAAATGCATAGAAAGATGACTTAGAGATACGAAATACAAAGACAACTTACGATCCAACAATCTTCAAATCAGTGATATTTGAACAAGCTGACAACGCATTATTATAGAGATGGTCTCTCAAATATCTGACATTGTAAAGGTGGATGCTTCTCAAGTATTTCCTAGTTGAATGGGAAAAGAGATGACACCAAAATTAGATGATTAATCCAAGGACAAGGTAAGGATGTGTTATAATCTCTAGCTGAACTTAATTATAACTACCATCAAAATAGATTTAGACTGGAAGAAAGATAAATGAAGCAAGTTAATATCTAAAAGTTCATATCAATAATTCAAGACAATACCCGATAAACCCATCATTATCGGGTAGCGGGGCAAGACATTTTCCGGTAAGCAAAGGCGTAGTAGAGACATCATTATATGGGGGAACAACATGACCAAGTTCAAGGGATCTGCATGCATGCATAAAAAAAAAACCCCATGAGATATAATTACATTAGCTAACCAAGTTGCAGCAAACAAGGAGAATCTGCTATTTAAAATTTCTCAAAATTCTTTGGATTCTAGTTAGGTTATATAACTTAACTAAATGGTTTCTTGAATACACAATATATTACCTGAGTTCTTTTCCAGCCCGACAGATCATGGTACGCACAACTTCATCATCAACTTTGCTGACAGAGGTAGTAGTCAAGTTGATGTGAGAGTAAGAGAAAGGGTCCATGGCACATTTTTGGAACATGGTGCAGCATGACATGGCTTGCACTAGAGACTTTGTATCAAGCTTCGAAAACACCTGAAATTTCATTAACAATGGGGATTCAATAACACACACACAAAAACGTTGCTCAGTTTCAGAAACATTTATGCATAATTTGATAATTCTCAATTTGCTTATATACGAATAGTGAAATCAGGTCGGATACATATAATTCCAGAGAACCAAATCCCTAAAAGATCACCCCAAGAATTAAACCTTGATAGTGATTTCTGGAGGAAGTAACCAAGAATTGGAATTGTGAAGTGAAGCTCGCTTGCGGAAGCACCGTCTAGTGGACTCGAGAAGAAGCAACTGGAGTTTGATGGTACGATCGATGATGCTATTCTGAACCAAGTCATCGGAGGAAGCGGAGGCGAGAGCTTTGTCGAGCAATTGATCAATGGAGGACGGCGAGTCAAACGAAGGCGAGGATGAGTCCGGAAACGACAGTAACAAATGGAATATCAAATCGAAACCTGGAGCACTGGGAAGGGAATTAGGGTTTTGGATTGTGGAATAAACGTCATGGCAAAGTCGGTTTGGGTTTGGAGGATCCATGATGACACGGGACTTGCTTTAAGTCAAAAGGGAATGGGATCGATTCTCACTTTGTCACCAGGAAGAAAGAAAAAAATCTATTGTTTTTGTATCCTACTTTAAAAATTCCTTAAGAATATACTCGCAAGGGTTTTATTCGGCACTAAGATAGCTTCTTAGTCAAGTTTTACTTTAGACTAAAAACATTAAAGATAGCTTTTTAGTCAAGTTTTTCTAAACACTACAAAAACTTAAAACTCCATCTATCAATGGCATAGGGCTATCTTTGTGTGTTAATTACGTGGAATATTTGAATTCTGCTCTTCGGACATCATAAAATTAGCATTTTTAATCTTAATACCGTGAATGATGAATTCCTTTTTGACTTTGCAGGTAACGTGCCTTTGAAGAAACTTGACTTGAAACGCTCTTGTTTCAGTTCCTTCTTGCTGCGCTCTAACATGATCAATTCTCCGGTTGTCAAAAATAGTTAGAGACTAAATATTCCAAACAAACATGTTTATTGTCGAAATCGTAACTGTCGATATATATCGATATCAAAGTGATTATGAAAATAAGAGAAACAATTTATTCAATTTCAAATAAGATACAAGATATTATATATCTTGTCTTACGTAAGACACATATAACAAACTATCATCAAAATAGGTTCTGAGTGGACGACAGGTAGATAGCAATTAGCAAAGCAAGTCTGATAATAAAAGACAAAACCTAATTATAAGCAGAAGTGTCGTAGTTTTAGTTGTGATTTTCAGGCTATTCATCGAACAAGGTCCGTGCTTGTTCGAACTAGCCATTTGTTATGGCGTAAGGGTGTAGGAGATTATGGTTTACCTGCATGTAGCTGATGGGAATTTAAACTGAAGCAGACATAAAATCTAAATGATCAAATCAAATTAACCAGGAAAGTTTAGGATCCATATCCTTAATAAGTTTAATGTATGATCCAAAAGAAAAATACTGCATAAAATTTGAAGCAAAATACTGACTAAAATTTTCCTCAACAAAGGGAAATAATTGTTCAAAAAAAAAAAAAACCAAAGGGAAATAAAAAAGAGAGAAAGAAGACCATTGAACACAAGTCAAAAGTCGTTGTCGTCGTCTTCTCTTGAGTTGTGATCTGAATTTCACAAAAAAAAAAATCACCTAAGTTCAATTCCTAATTAATAAAGCTATATATAATAACAAATTAACCAACCTTACTGATGATGAATCAGTTGATCATGCTGATGAATCCGTTGAATAAGATGATGAGGATGAATCAGAAGATGTTGATGAATCAGATGACGATACCAATGAATATGGTGATGGTGTAAAATCTCCCACAAATGTAAGACCAGGTCTTTCTACTTCCAGCTCTTCCAGAGGAAACCTACAACACATCCCATTTAAACCGGTGAGTCATTAACCTGAGTTATGATTACTGATTAATCAAATGGTAAACAATACAATAAAAAAAAAAATCTGTTACTTTGGTTTTCTATTTCTCCTCATCTCGCCACTTAGTAATCCATGGTAATTTGAAACATCCTATTTCATCGAAGAAAAAAAATCATGAGTAAATTAAACAAAAATAACCTGTCACAATCATATTCTTACAAAAAAAACTAGTATTGTCATATTTAAGAACGTAACTTACAATATATTGCATGAACCTCAAGTCTCCTGAGAGTAACGAATGCAAAAACCGGCAAACCATTCTCTGAATATCCGAGATTCAAAGGGTCAAGATTGTGACATATATTAATACTGATGCTGATGCAACAACAAGAGAGTGTATGTACTAAGTTAATTAGATTGCTTTACCTCCCTTAACCCGACGCAATCTCGCAGTATTACAGTCTCGATCAGAGCATCTTTGAAGTTATCGCACACGCGTCTATCATAAGAATAAAAAACACACCATAAGAAATTTGCTCACAGAAAAACAATTAGTAGGATTTCATCATTAAGACAACATGAACCTCAAAAAGGATCCTCCAAATCCAGATGTTCTGGATAAGTCAATGTACTTAAGTTTATGCAAACCCTGGAAAAAAACAAATAGAAAGCATCCCAATGTTTTACAAAAGCATTTATATATAGCACCAAAAAAAAATGAGAACAGAAGAAACACCAGGAAACCAAAAGAGCCATACCATTAATAACATGTAGAGTGCGTCGTCTGTTATGTGAAAACCTATAAGTGACAGTGAAGTGAGATTGGGGCAGCTTTTCTCAAAGTGCGAACCAGTTAAATGGCTCCATACAGCTGTCACACATAACGGTCAGCGTAAGCAAACATGCATGGGAGGACAAACAAAAGAAAATTAATTAAGCATTACAATGGAAAAACATTACCAGAATTCTCGTTCTGTAAGAACAGATGCTCACATTTGACTGTGAGCAAACCGGCTACATCACTTACTGTATGGATATCCCTGTCATTTGAAACACAAATATTGTATAGGAAGTGAGAAAAAGTATCAAAAGCTTTCTTGTTAGTCCAGAAATACACTTTTAGGGTTTAGGCGTTCTGGTTTTCTAGGGTTTTAATTAGGATAATAACTGAAATTCTCTTCTTTACCAAAGTCTCTATATGATGTAGTTTTCTGGTGAATTAACTCATGGATCTTATCAAAACGGTACAAGATCTAGGTAGATTCTAATATCTACAGACATAAAAGCAACAAATTGAACAGATAATGGAAAGCATAGATGATGAAAACCAGATTATGGGAATGGACAATTCAAGGAATATGGTAAAACAATAGGTAAGGAACTTAGTAACTTACAATCCAACAATCTTCAAATCAGTCAGATTTGAGCAGACTAACAATGCACCACATATGGACTTTCTCTTCAGCTTTCCGTTGTGATTGTAAATGTGTAGGCTCTCCAAGAGATTCCTTGTTGAAAATAAGTAAATAAACCAAATTAGAATTTAGAAGCACCACAAAAACCAGTCGAACCAACTTTTTACGTATATATAGAAGGTATAAAGTAAATACCCAGCTAAACCATGTTCGTAAGACAGTGGGTCGAGAGAAGATCTTGTAAGCAGAGATTTGGTTGACTCATCTGCGCAACCAACTTTAAGGGAACTGCATGCAGCAAAACCCATAGAGATAGTAATTAAATAGAAAATCAAGAAATAGGAGAAGCTCACTTGCATCAAGAAGAAAGGAAGGGACACTAAGAGTAAGAGTACACAACATCTCACCTGAGTTCCTTTCCAGCTCTAAAGATCATACCACGCACAACTACACTTTTAACATTTGCGTTGGTCAAGTCTATGTCCCCGTAACAAATCGGATCCATCGAACTTCTCTTAAACATGGTGCAAGAAGCCGACGCCTGGACCAACGATTTGGTATCCACCAACCCAAAGATCTGAATAATCAATTTCAAACACATTAATTCAAGAGAGCAAAAAATTGATTACATCTATGGGACATCATTCAATACATGTGTGATTTTGTATACTGTAAGATAATTTATTAAGAATTTGATATTTTCGTTATTTTTTTTTCAATCTAACAAATCACATTTAATAAATCAAAGCCACCTAACATTTTCCTCACAAATTACATCTTTCTCATGATTCATTGCCATACTGTAAGTGATCTTTATGATTGGAAAACAAACTGGTTTTTTGTTAATACACATGAATAGGTCCCTAAACCCCGTTGACTCGTTTAACATGATTTAGTGAATCCTCAACAAATTCCAGCTTAATTGTGATAAATCAAGGGTTAAAAAAACATTTTTTTTTGGTCAACAGTGGGTTAAAACAATTTAACTTTAAAATCCAACGTTCTACAAGAAAAAAAAAAAAGCAAGCGCCGTCAATGACACATCACAAAATTCCAGCATAACTGAGGCAAAATATTTGAAAAGCTAAAAATCGATTAATGATTTCAACCGCGATGTGTTTACCTTAACGGTGAGTTCATGAGGGAGCGGCCAAGAAATGGTGTTGTGGTGTGTGGCGCGTCTCCGAGCGCACCTTTTAGCGGACTCGAGGAGACGGGCAGCGAGTTGGAGTCCGCGGTCGACAGTAGACTCATCACCGGAAGACTCCAGCAAGTCTTCAAAGGCTCGGTCGAAGGACCTTTCAGTGGCTAGCGAATCAGGCAACGAGAGTAGAGTAGAGACCATCAGATCTACGTGACTCTGGTCGACATCAGGAACACTCTGGACTGCGACTCGACATAGTCGCTTGATTTCGTTTGCATCCTCCATGAAAGATGGATGAGACAACGTTGGAAGAATGAAAGAAAAGATGCAAATGTATGAGTGAATATAAAAAGGAGAGTTGTATTTTTTATTTAGAAGGTCCAGCTCACCTAACATTTCTTCCCAAATATGAAAACTCTCTCGATTCAGCTTTTCTTCCCAAATCTATCAGAGAAGTCGTTTTGAAGCCCTTGATTCTCTGTGAAAGACTACGAGATGATGACAAGTGATATTCATAGGCCAAAACAAACAAAAAAATTAGCAGAGGAAATTTTTTTTTTCCATTTACAAGGTCCCACCTCACCAATAGCTGGCAATTCAAAATCCAAATTGGGTCTCTTAAAACGTTGGCCCATTTCTTTAGAACCACAAATAACAACACTTACGGCCCATACCGTTGATACGTACATGATGAAGGTGATACCACAACTAATTTTCACAAACAGAAAAAGGTTACTTACGGACCAAGCTGCTGCGTAAAGGACCTTGCTGGAGAAGAAAGAGTAACTCTTTTCAACTTTACACCTAAACACCAAACTTTTACCGTCTCAACAACAATCATCCAACGTAAAAGATAAACACACTCGAACTCGAACTAAATTTTGGACCAAGGAACGGATACAAAGGTGGCTCTTCCTTAAAACCCTTTTTTTTATAAGTCCGGTTCCCGTAATTCAGTTTATGCTTCCAAGTTTGTAGGAGTTGTAGTCGAGTATTTAAATCAATGAAAACCAAAAGAGGTCGTCATAACTACCCTTTGAAAAAAAGTATCTTGTGTTCTT